AATAATTTAGAATAAATCATATTATTAAATTAATTAATACATATAATATCAAAAATTTTAAAAATAAAAAAATTAATTATTATGTAATATAAAATTCACTTTTTAATATTTTATATAATATAACTTATATCATATCATTAATTTTAAATTTTAATTTCAAAATTTAATCTTATTTATCAATTTTTATTAAATAAATTAATACATCCACTATATTTTTTTGAATATAAGGGAATTTGAAATTTTTTTTTAAGTAGTTAATAGGAATGGAATTTCCAATTAACTACACTTAAACATTTAAAATTTATACAAATAATTGGCTTGGTTCAATTAATACATCCACTGTTATTTTAAAATTTATATAAATTTTTAATGCCACAAGAAGTCAAAAAGTATATCATCTTTGCATCTATGTCCTCAGTGGTCATTATCCATTCATCTTCCCTTCACCACATGTTCCTCGATATATTTCATCCAACTCGCTTTGTTCTTGGGACATAACTCCATGGCGGACACAGGAAAACCAGAGCCGACATGGGAACAACTTCTCGGCAGTAACAACTGGGATACTCTTCTCGACCCCCTCAACCTCACCCTCCGCCAACTCATCCTCCGCTGCGGTGACTTCTGCCAGGTAACCTATGATTCCTTCAACAACGACGAGGGCTCCAAGTACTGCGGCAGCTGCCGTTATGGTAAATCCACTTTCTTCGACAAAGTCATGCTCGAATCCGCGTCCGATTACGTTGTCTCTTCCTTCCTTTACGCCACCGCGCGCGTCAGCATCCCCGAGGCCTTCCTCCTCCACTCCCAGTCTCGCGAGAACTGGGACCGCGAGTCAAATTGGATTGGCTACATAGCCGTGACTTCTGACGAACGAACGAAAGCCTTGGGCCGCCGCGAGATCTACGTTGTCTGGCGCGGCACCACCAGGAACTACGAGTGGGTCGATATCCTTGGCGCAGAGCTCACTTCCGCTGAATCCCTCCTGAGCCCAATTACTCCGAACGGCGGATCCGGAAGCAGCACTAGCAACCAAGACGATGACAAGGAGAAGACCCCTAAAGTGATGCTGGGTTGGCTGACGTTGTACATCTCCGACGACCCAAAATCGCAATTCACCAAAGTAAGCGCGAGGACCCAACTTCTGGACAAGATCAAATCCATGACAGAGCAATACAAAAACGAGAACCCCAGCATCATATTCACCGGGCACAGTCTTGGGGCATCCTTGGCCGTCATTAGTGCTTTCGATGTGGCGGAGAACACATCGGGTAATATTCCGGTAAGTGCTTTTGTGTTCGGTTGTCCACAAGTCGGAAACAAGGCTTTCAAGGACAGAATAGAACAGCATAAAAATTTAAACATTCTTCACATCAAAAACACCATTGATCTCATACCCCATTATCCCTCCCAATTGCTGGGTTATGTATATATTGGAACGGAGCTGTTGATTGACACGAGGAAGTCGAAGAGCTTGAAGGACTCGAAGAATCCTGGCGACTGGCATAATTTGCAGGCAATGTTGCATATAGTGGCGGGGTGGAATGGTGAGAAGGGAGAATTTGAGCTCAAAATCAAGAGGAGCTTGGCGCTGGTGAACAAGTCTTGTGAGTTCCTCAAAGACGAGTATTTCGTGCCGGGGTCGTGGTGGGTGGAGAAGAACAAAGGGCTTGTGAGGAATAACGATGGAGAGTGGGTCAGTGCTCCACCGGCTAACGAGGACCTACCATTCCCATAATCAGTTTGAAAAGTACTTGTTGTATTTTTTTTTTTTTTTTGACCAAGGGCAATAATTAATAAATTAATTTTATTAGTTATTAATAATTGAAAATTTGATTTTTAAATTTAAATTTAATGATCATTCCACTTTTTTTTATTTTGATTAGGACGCAACCATCAAATCGTTTGGTGGAGTTTATGTTGTATATGTGATCAGACGAGTTTGAATGGGCATATGTGTATCGGCATGTGTATATACGGTATTGATCCATGTGATAGAACGTTGTTGGGCTGTGCCTTTTTCAAGTGGTCTAATAATATTTTGTGCTAGTTTGAACACACCAAATTAGATAAATTCACTTTTCTAATATCGATTCAACGAGTTTTAAAATGGTT